ATGTAAAAACAGAGGAGGCGGTCTTAAGAAAAGCATCACCGCCCCAGCTTCTCGCCTATTGGCCGAGGTCTGGTTAAAATTCCTTTAAATTCCATTACATGTATGTGTTCCGATCACTCTATCACAGAAAAATAAGAGTTGTAGAACTTATTGAAAACTCAAGACAGCCATAACATTATGTTTTTTTACAAGTGTATGTAAACTTTTGACCACAACTGTATATATATATATATGCAGCTGAAACAGACACATCTACATTAACATTTTAATAAAACATTATAGTGATTATGGCCTTTAATTAAAAATAATAATAATTAGCGAGGCGGGGTTGGACCACATGGCCCTTGTGGTGAGGCCTAAGTGTTTGTCCTTAACTGCTTTTCTTTTCTTTACATTACTTTTATACTTTAAAGTAGACATAAGATGCTCTTGAATCCTTTTTACAACATTTAAATAATTTTTTAGTCTATTTATAGTAGAACTGCAATGTGTTGGTTTCCTCCTCATTGTTTCAGCCCTTTTCTGAGGTGTGTCTCAGATCAACTCGTTTAGTGGCTGTCTCTTTAAATGCAAACAAGATGTTGCACAACCCGCACCCCTCCAGCTTCTAGACCGGTCCATTCCAGTTTGATAGAGGAGTTTACATCTAGCACAAGATGGTTTTATTTACAAATAATTAAAAGATGTCAACAAGGGAAGACTTGTCCATCCAGTCTTACATGTTAAAGCCAGAGTCTGACCCAGAACCAGAGTCTGACCCAGAACCAGAGGAGAATGAAGCCCACCAAATTGTAACTGGTAAATCCAAACCTTATTTTGTTGTTTTGTCGCAAATAATTTCATGTAATATTTCAGAAAACGACATAGAAAATAGAGAAAACTGAAAAGGTTGAAAAATATGATCCAAACAGAATATAAAGAAATCTTTGTAGCATCAGGAGAGACTAAATTAAAAATTTCTGCACTCATAAAGAATCCAAGTCCAAAACAAAATGTATTTAATGACTAAAAATTTGGACTTTGCAAGATATGTCCCCTTTAAGTAGTTTTAAACCAGTACTTTTACACTTTTGAATAAAAAGCTTGAGTTACTTCAACTTTTACAGAAGTCCTTTATAGTCTAATATCTATATTTCTACCTGAGTAATGAATGTAAATACTTCTGACACCTCTGGTTTAGAATGGATACAAATCATCTGCATCCCTCTAAACTCTGGTATTTCACAAAAAATGTTTACATTATTGTGCATTCAAAGTTATTGCCCTTCCACAAACTTCCAGGAGAAATTTACCTGAAAAGAAACGAAAAAGAACCGATTGATTTTTGGGTTCTGAATTGCTTTAAGACATGACTTTTCATGCAACTGACCTAAAGTCACTTCAGGCCTTTTTAAGTAGAAAACTACACAGTGCTGAGAAAATATTTTTACGATACACTTTAGAAGCAAAAAGGCAACACGAGTTCAAGTTCAAAGAGAAGTTGAGAGGAGGAACTGCAAGGAGAAATCATTGTGTAGGTCAACAGCACACAGAGCAGCGAAGTGCCGATCCAACTGTGGAGTCCAGACTCAAGAAAACACTCTTTTTATATCAAGTTGTTTCATTCTTATTTCTTTAACAACCAACAATAACACTGCTGAAGTAACTTCAGTTTTATTTAAATATATTTAACTTTAAAAAGCTAAATGCTTGCAGGAGGCAAGCGGTATTCTTTGAAACTACAGTATAGCTATAGTTAGCAGTTATATGAATAAACTCTTGATATAAAACAAGTTTCCAGTCACAGGACTCTCTTGGATCTGACAGCAGTGACCAACCAGGCTTCTGAGCTTTAACAACTGAACAGATAGACACGGGTGGAGCAGGCAGCCGAGCTCGCTCGTTTGCTTCCAGCAGGAAGGAAGCAGCCAAGCCAGCAGCAGACAGAGCGTGGCCTGACAGCGAGTCCACAAACGCCCCGTTCAACACATCGGGGACCAGGTATCGGATCAGCTCCAGCGACTTCTCCCGATCCGGTGAGTCGTCAGCGTCCACTGCTCACACCCAACAACATGAAGCCGAGATGACGTGACTTACAAGCAAACAAGCAAACGGTGCAAAGACAGTGCAACATACATAAACTAGTGTTATTAAAAGAAAAAGCTCCTGCCAGGGGATTTTACCTGGTTTGGACAGAGGCATCACTCTGGGGAACTGTCTTCTACAAGCATGGAGTGGACTAGATGAGACAATAAATATTTAAATGTCATGAGAACACAATCATATAACAAAAACTGATTATTTCATTTTATAAGTAGACAATGCACCTGATGACATCTTTACAAAGAGGAAGAAAAGGTTGCTTCTGGTAGTGGCCAAACACCTCAAAGACAATTGGCTGAGTCTTGATGTAGTCTACAAAAGACTTTGTAACTTCAACAGCAATCTACAAAAACAATGAAAAGTTTATTTATCCAACGGATTGGTTCTGGTTAAAAAAAGAGAACATGTTTGTGTTGATGTTTCTTACATTCTGCACGTGGTAAAACCCAAGAGGAGGGCCACGGCCTGTGTTTTTTAGAGGTTCGGTAGAAAAGGCCTCATCATGGCGATGGATAAAACTAAAATCAAAAACAGAAACATGAAACATAAAAAGAAAAAAGTGACAAGACCAATCGTTCTTCATCTACGATTTTATATATATATATATTCTACTTGAACTGCTTACTTGAACTGGCAGAAGATGTCTGCATATTCTGCAGAGATGCTGGACGCCTGCAGGACGGTCACTCTGAAGGTAAAAATGTTACCAATCTGCAGGTGCTCCAGATTTGCATCCAATGCACCGTCCAGAGCTGCCTTCACTGGATTCTCCAATTCATCTGCACCAGCTGTGAGGACCGCAAGAATGAAAAACAAACCTTGGTTGAATTTAAACATGTCATCCAGTGGGTGTGATTTTGGACAGTCTAGCCCTTTCCCCATCCCTCAAATTGGGGGAACGGGGGGCCCGTTTGGATTTGGACAACCTTCAGCACATCGCTGTGACATAAAGAGCAGACAAATTCGGCCTTCGAAGGATGCAGACCCTGAATTTGGACACAGCTTCAGACTCACATAAACCTGTAATTCATATGGGCCAAAGTGGAGCAGAGTGTGCACAATCAAGTACTACTAACTTTATGGGGATGTATGTATGTAATCCAGGGTTCAGCAGCTGCACCTGGTTTTCCAAATGCAGTTTTTCTACACTCCTGTAAGGTGTATATAAAGAGTGACAGGAAGTCCATGTTACGTCCTGTATTCCTCATTTCCTCTAAGCAGGCTGAGAAAGACCTGTTTGCACAGCAGGCTGAGAGAGGCCTGATTGGGGAAAAACATTTTGGACTTTCAAAAATACAACCTACACACACCGTGGTGAGTTCATTGTATTTTGTAAACTTTAGAAAAGCCTCTCATTGATCAACTAGTTTAACCCAAATTACAAAAGCAATCTCCAAACTTTTCTTTTTGTTTGCTGCAAGCTGTAAGTTAAATCGAATCTACCCACCACACCAGATGCTCATCATAAAACCACCTTTGGACCAATTTCCACTTTGAAAACCGAGGTCAGATTTTTGTTGGACGATTTCATATGCCTGTGGAATCTGATGGCGAGCTACCTTGACACAAGAACCTTTTTGTGAAGAATTACCCAGGCTTCTGAATCGGTAGGAACTGTGGTCTCTGATTGAACTGTTATGGACTCTAACTTTTTGATTACATTGGATGTTTGTTTTTCCTTTTTATTTGAGTTGTAATTGAAAGGACTTTATGACCAAAGTTGTTTTTTTTCTGGATCTGCTTGTGTAACAAAGTGTCCTTTTTTTGTTTTGTGTCTTTTTTGTTATTGAATTCAATACAGTATAATTTTCTCACTTTAAAACCTTGTTTGTGGTCAATGGCATCCAGTGTTGTGTTGGGTTCCTTCAGAACCTAGTCTTTGAAATTAAATGTTCTAATTTAAAAATAGGGAACCAAAATAGAGGTTACACTTTGCATTGACATTCATTCATTTCTATATCCTAATCCTGACCCCCTTGCCATAAGCCTTACGACCCCAGTACCTACCTGACCCTAAATCTAGCCTAAACTCAATTCATACCTTGGTCCTAAAGCTTTGGTCACCACAAGAAGCACTGGGTCCCTACAAGGCTTCATTTTTCTGGAAAATGATGTAGCAAAAACATGTCAACACACACACACACACACACACACACACACACACACACACACAAAAAGTAATCACTGATTGTTTCAGTTCTCTGGAGGTGACACGCTGTCATTTAACCAGGATGTCCTGATGCATCTCAGTAATCCAGGTAAAAATCACACACACACACACACACACACACACACACACACACACACACACACGAAGTATGGTTGACCCTCACATGTGTTGTTGTTGACTTCATCTGCTGATGGGGCCATTTCTGCATTCTGCCCCTCTCCCTCCACAATGCGAAGCTCCTCTTGAGAAACCCCAGTGCGGGACAGTCCAGCTGAGCAGGACTCTGACTGAAACTGCAAATACAAGGTCCAAAACAAATGGGTCAGTAACAATACACTCACCTGCACACCTGGCTAGTACCAGGTTAGACCTCCTTTTGCTTTCAGAACTGTCCTAACTCTTGATGGTGTAGATTGGAAACATTTATCATAGATTTTGTTCTATATTGACAAGTTAGAACCACAATTGTTGCAGATTTATCCATGATGCAAATCTCTCATTCTACCACATCCAAAAGGTGCTTCAATTGGACTAAGATCAAAGGCCTCACAAACGTGTGGGAGTGTGTGTACATATACACAAACATTTGACCTGCTATGAGAATGCGTGTACAGCTACACAAACTTCTTTAGTTGATGGGATCAAACTACAAAGTGCTGAAACTCACTTAAATACACTAAAACCTCACTCCATTTGGTTTTCTGTACTCAACTTTTACAATAACACATCTCAGAATAGATTGATGCCTCAGTGATAAAAGACATGTGAATTATCACTTCCATTCTCACTGAGACAAAAATCATATCAGATCAGTATATTCTTCAGAACAAGGCATAATAATGATTCCAGAGGTCGACAAGGCGTGTTCTGTTTTGATCAGCAGATGTGTGGATAAAAAGACATTTCAACAACAAATCATCACATTCAGATGTACTTAAATCTCTTTTCTTTCCTGAACTGATGCACATCTATACATCTAAAGGCACTGAGTTGCTCCCATATGATTGGCTGACTAGTCAGTCAATCTACTCTTAAGCTTGGATTATACTTCAGTAAGTCATGAGACAGCGGGTTGGAGATTGCATAATTTTGGATGTATTTTCCTGAGCAAGTATAACCATGCTGAAAATGTGGCAAACTAAAAGTACATAAACAACCATAAAGATGGCTGGATATTGTGGTTTTTAATTTTTATCACTCAATGATCAGTATTGTGTTGAGTGAAGAAGAGTCCGCTGTACAAAAAGTTTATTTTTATTTTATTTAAATGGTGGTGATGGAAAAAAGACGTGAAAATCTGAAAATCAGCTGTGTGTTCACGTGCAATAGGATCAAATCTTTTAACAACTAGCTTCAGAAAAAGAAATAATTTTATACAAAATAAGCTGCAGAAGGCAGAGCTTATCAGAGTCCTGCTCCTCAGCGCTGCTGAAGCGCTGCTGTGTTCCTCATGAACAAACACACCCATGAAGTTCAAACCAATCACACACTCCGATCCGCAAAGTCCGCATCTCAAAGTTCTGACTGGGGGCAATGCACAAGACAGCTGTCACCGGGGGATAGCAGCGGGAGAACAGATGGAAGTTGCGCAATTTTTTGTCACTCAGCAGGACGTGTGCCTCCAAGTATAAACCAAGCTTTATTCCTTATTCTTTCCAACAGCCAAAAGATGCACAAAGTGCTTCACAATACAAAACTTAAAAACAAACAAAAAGCCGCTAAGTGTTAAAAGCCAGCCTGAATAAAAAAGGTTTTAAGATTAGATTTAAAAACGCCCAGATCAGTCCTGAGGTAGTTCGTTCCACGGTCTGGGTACAGCAATTGAAAGGCCCAATCAGACAAATGTTTGTACTTAGAGTTGTTTGGGACAAACAAAAAGGGAGGTATTAGTTCTTAAAGTTACAAGATTAGCTAAATAAGGTTGGACGAGTCCATTAAAAGCTTTAAAATGAATAACAGATGTTTAAAATCAATTCTAAAGCCAATGGAGAACAAATAAAATGGAGGTGATGTGCTCACGTCTGGGAGTGTTGCAGCATTTTGGACTCATTGAAGATATTTGACAGAGAATTGAGAGATTCCTACATACAGATTAGCTATTTGTGATATCCATTGTTGGGCACTAGTCCCCTAAAGCGCAAATGCGCTAATTGCAGACCTAGGTGCCTCTCCGAGGGACACTGCAGCAATAAATATTAAATAAATAAATAATAATAAAGAAAATAAAAACACGGAAAAGTTTAAATTCACGCTCTTATTTTGAAAAGAACTGAGTTCCTGTTCTGTGTCCTGTAGCCTACCCAGAATGCATTGCTTCAGTTTTACAACAAACAGTTTAAAATTATTAATATAGCTACCTGTTTTCTTACTGAAGCCCTGCCATAAACATAAGAAAATGACCAAGAAGCAGCAGAATTAGCAATCCACATCTATTTTTTGTTTTACAACCGTGATTTAAAAGTCTGTTTCTACGAATCACCTCCCCAAACTGCGACAGCATGTGTCAAACTGCCAAAGAAAATAGTCACTAGATGGTAGTAAAGTGCTGACTTGTCTCTTACCTGAATGTTATCTGGTAAACAGATTATGTTGTGCTTTATATTAGCATCTGCTAGTGCTGGGCGGTATACGGTTTTGTACTGAATACCGGTTTTTATTTTTGTTATGATACGAATTTTTTGAATGGCGGACATTCTGGTTTAAATAGCGGAACGTTTCGTCGCGGCCGCCAGTGAACTGTTGTTTCCCGGGGGACATTTTTCCTTGCTGCACCGCTATGTGCGTTAGCATGCTAATGTTTGGAGCAGCTAGTTGCAGCCGCGGGTGGTGATTCCGCTGCTTATATTGACTGACGTTTTAAAAAAACATCCCGTTTTCACCGTCGCTGAATGTAGTAAACACCTCTTCAGTGACGTGCACAGTTAGATTTAACGCGGTTAGTTAATATGTAGACGTTATGCTGATGGAGACTTAACGTGGTTCTATTGTGAAAAGCCTGCGGGAAGTAGTTCGTAGTGGAGTTAGAATTGACTGTTGTGCAAGGTGAGTCGTGCTGATAAGCTTTAATAAATAACATAGAACAATAAACCCAATCATAATCTTTTCTTAACCCTCCTCCTTCACGACTGGACCAAAATGCATGACCACTGTCTCCAACCACCAGTCAGAGAAGAACAGACACAGAGGAGGGAAACAGCGACACAGACAGAGGTACAGTAAAAGAAAAAAGTCAATAAGCAGGGTTTGTAAATTTTTTATCAGCTGAGCTGTGATGAAAAGAAAAATACAGTGAAACCGGTGAAAATGTTGAAAATACCGTGATATAAAATTTTGATCATATCGCCCAGCTCTAGCATCTGCTAAGTTTTATTGAGCATTAGTGCTTCTGAACTTGCGGACCTAAATAAATTGACTAGTGCTTTAGAAATTGCACAACTAAAATTTGAATTAGCTCATCTCACCATTGGTAGTAACAAGTAATTGATCAGGTGGGCCTGATAATGTGACCGGTGAGTGATGTTTTCATGTCTTTGGATGCTGCGTGAACATTTCTCACCTTCTCATACTGCTGATCCTCAAACGAAATTTTGGCAGTGCCAGACTGTCTCACTCCTGAGCCGTAGTCAGGAGCTTCGTCATCAGCTGGAGGGAAACACAGAGCACCTTCACTTCACTCCCTCCTGAAGTCTCAGCCAGCTTATCTTTTCAGTTGCTGTTTGAGCTAAACACGGTGGACACTGAGGGTCTGAGCCTTACCTGATATGGCCTGCACCGCCACCCGCAGGAAGCCCTTCACCTCGCCTCTCTCGCTGACGATGGCCACGCGGTGGACCAGAGGGACCGGGTACAGCAGGTTACTCAGATAAACAAAAGCCCTGCACGGTGAGCAAAAAGAGAGGACGTAACAACGAAAAGTTAAAGACCAAAAAATCAGGGGGGTGGGGGGGGGGGTAGTTTTATGTTTTTCACACTGGACTGGACACAGAACACAGAGCTGCAAAGCAACCAAATAGAAGCTGGGACTGCTCTAGCGATGGCCATGGTTACCCTTTACTATTGCGTCATCAGGTTTTTTCTTGATTTTTTTATCATTTATTATGATAAAGACAACTATGAACATCCTTTTAGCATTAAACAGGTAAAGCCTTGGTGAGGCTAAAGAGCATGTGGGTCAACTTTAAAAGGGTAAATGTAATAAAAACATCATGAACCAGCTCTTTATGCAGCTGGAGAGCAAATGCTTTTTGTTCATTTACAGACGTTTGTTGTTGCATCACAGAAGTGCCCCAAAAGGAGGTAATGTGAACATACACTCACCGGCCACTTTATTAGGTACACCAGTCCAACTGCTCGTTGACACTTAATTTCTAATCAGCCAATCACATGGCGGCAACTCAGTGCATTTAGGCATGTAGACATGGTCAAGACAATCTCCTGCAGTTCAAACCG